CACAGTAGCCATGCTTGTAGTCTTATTTGTCAACACAGTAGCCATTCTTGTGGTCTTATTTGTCAACACAGTAGCCATGCTTGTGGTCTTATTTGTCAACACAGTAGCCATACTTGTAGTCTTATTTGTCAACACAGTAGCCATGCTTGTAGTCTTATTTGTCAACACAGTAGTCATGCTTGTAGTCTTATTTGTCAACACAGTAGCCATACTTATGGTCTTATTTGTCAACACAGTAGCCATGCTTGTAGTCTTATTTGTCAACACAGTAGTCATGCTTGTAGTCTTATTTGTCAACACAGTAGCCATACTTATGGTCTTATTTGTCAACACAGTAGCCATGCTTGTAGTCTTATTTGTCAACACAGTAGCCATGCTTGTAGTCTTATTTGTCAACACAGTAGCCATGCTTGTAGTCTTATTTGTCAACACAGTACCATGCTTGTAGTCTTATTTGTCAACACAGTAGTCATGCTTGTGGTCTTATTTGTCAACACAGTAGCCATGCTTGTAGTCTTATTTGTCAACACAGTAGCCATGCTTGTAGTTTTATTTGTCAACACAGTACCATGCTTGTGGTCTTATTTGTCAACACAGTAGTCATGCTTGTGGTCTTATTTGTCAACACAGTAGCCATGCTTGTAGTCTTATTTGTCAACACAGTAGCCATGCTTGTAGTCTTATTTGTCAACACAGTAGTCATGCTTGTAGTCTTATTTGTCAACACAGTAGCCATGCTTGTGGTCTTATTTGTCAACACAGTAGCCATGCTTGTAGTTTTATTTGTCAACACAGTACCATGCTTGTGGTCTTATTTGTCAACACAGTAGCCATGCTTGTGGTCTTATTTGTCAACACAGTACCATACTTGTAGTCTTATTTGTCAACACAGTACCATGCTTGTAGTTTTATTTGTCAACACAGTACCATACTTGTAGTCTTATTTGTCAACACAGTACCATGCTTGTAGTCTTATTTGTCAACACAGTAGCCATGCTTGTAGTCTTATTTGTCAACACAGTAGCCATGCTTGTAGTCTTATTTGTCAACACAGTACCATGCTTGTAGTCTTATTTGTCAACACAGTAGCCATGCTTGTAGTCTTATTTGTCAACACAGTAGCCATACTTGTAGTCTTATTTGTCAACACAGTAGCCATGCTTGTAGTCTTATTTGTCAACACAGTAGTCATGCTTGTAGTCTTATTTGTCAACACAGTAGTCATGCTTGTAGTCTTATTTGTCAACACAGTAGCCATGCTTGTAGTCTTATTTGTCAACACAGTACCATGCTTGTGTAGTCTTATTTGTCAACACAGTACCATGCTTGTAGTCTTATTTGTCAACACAGTAGCCATGCTTGTGTAGTCTTATTTGTCAACACAGTACCATGCTTGTGTAGTCTTATTTGTCAACACAGTACCATACTTGTGGTCTTATTTGTCAACACCGTAGCCATGCTTGTAGTCTTATTTGTCAACACAGTAGTCATGCTTGTAGTCTTATTTGTCAACACAGTACCATGCTTGTAGTCTTATTTGTCAACACAGTAGCCATGCTTGTAGTCTTATTTGTCAACACAGTACCATGCTTGTGTAGTCTTATTTGTCAACACAGTACCATGCTTGTAGTCTTATTTGTCAACACAGTACCATGCTTGTAGTCTTATTTGTCAACACAGTAGCCATGCTTGTGTAGTCTTATTTGTCAACACAGTACCATGCTTGTGGTCTTATTTGTCAACACCGTAGCCATGCTTGTAGTCTTATTTGTCAACACAGTAGTCATGCTTGTGGTCTTATTTGTCAACACAGTAGCCATGCTTGTAGTCTTATTTGTCAACACAGTAGTCATACTTGTAGTCTTATTTGTCAACACCGTAGCCATGCTTGTAGTCTTATTTGTCAACACAGTAGTCATGCTTGTGGTCTTATTTGTCAACAGTAGCCATGCTTGTGGTCTTATTTGTCAACACAGTAGCCATACTTGTAGTCTTATTTGTCAACACAGTAGCCATGCTTGTAGTCTTATTTGTCAACACAGTAGCCATGCTTGTAGTCTTATTTGTCAGCACAGTAGCCATGCTTGTAGTCTTATTTGTCAACACAGTAGCCATGCTTGTGGTCTTATTTGTCAACACAGTACCATACTTGTAGTCTTATTTGTCAACACAGTACCATGCTTGTAGTCTTATTTGTCAACACAGTACCATACTTGTAGTCTTATTTGTCAACACAGTACCATGCTTGTAGTCTTATTTGTCAACACAGTACCATACTTGTAGTCTTATTTGTCAACACAGTACCATGCTTGTAGTTTTATTTGTCAACACAGTACCATGCTTGTGGTCTTATTTGTCAACACAGTAGTCATGCTTGTGGTCTTATTTGTCAACACAGTAACCATGCTTGTGGTCTTATTTGTCAACACAGTAGCCATGCTTGTAGTCTTATTTGTCAACACAGTAGCCATGCTTGTAGTCTTATTTGTCAACACAGTAACCATGCTTGTGGTCTTATTTGTCAACACAGTAGCCATGCTTGTAGTCTTATTTGTCAGCACAGTAGCCATGCTTGTAGTCTTATTTGTCAACACAGTAGCCATGCTTGTAGTTTTATTTGTCAACACAGTACCATGCTTGTGGTCTTATTTGTCAACACAGTAGTCATGCTTGTAGTCTTATTTGTCAGCACAGTAGCCATGCTTGTAGTTTTATTTGTCAACACAGTAGCCATGCTTGTGGTCTTATTTGTCAACACAGTACCATGCTTGTGGTCTTATTTGTCAACACAGTAGCCATGCTTGTGGTCTTATTTGTCAACACAGTACCATACTTGTAGTCTTATTTGTCAACACAGTACCATGCTTGTAGTTTTATTTGTCAACACAGTACCATACTTGTAGTCTTATTTGTCAACACAGTACCATGCTTGTAGTCTTATTTGTCAACACAGTAGCCATGCTTGTAGTCTTATTTGTCAACACAGTAGCCATGCTTGTAGTCTTATTTGTCAACACAGTACCATGCTTGTAGTCTTATTTGTCAACACAGTAGCCATGCTTGTAGTCTTATTTGTCAACACAGTAGCCATACTTGTAGTCTTATTTGTCAACACAGTAGCCATGCTTGTAGTCTTATTTGTCAACACAGTAGTCATGCTTGTAGTCTTATTTGTCAACACAGTAGTCATGCTTGTAGTCTTATTTGTCAACACAGTAGCCATGCTTGTAGTCTTATTTGTCAACACAGTACCATGCTTGTGTAGTCTTATTTGTCAACACAGTACCATGCTTGTAGTCTTATTTGTCAACACAGTAGCCATGCTTGTGTAGTCTTATTTGTCAACACAGTACCATGCTTGTGTAGTCTTATTTGTCAACACAGTACCATACTTGTGGTCTTATTTGTCAACACCGTAGCCATGCTTGTAGTCTTATTTGTCAACACAGTAGTCATGCTTGTAGTCTTATTTGTCAACACAGTACCATGCTTGTAGTCTTATTTGTCAACACAGTAGCCATGCTTGTAGTCTTATTTGTCAACACAGTACCATGCTTGTGTAGTCTTATTTGTCAACACAGTACCATGCTTGTAGTCTTATTTGTCAACACAGTACCATGCTTGTAGTCTTATTTGTCAACACAGTAGCCATGCTTGTGTAGTCTTATTTGTCAACACAGTACCATGCTTGTGGTCTTATTTGTCAACACCGTAGCCATGCTTGTAGTCTTATTTGTCAACACAGTAGTCATGCTTGTGGTCTTATTTGTCAACACAGTAGCCATGCTTGTAGTCTTATTTGTCAACACAGTAGTCATACTTGTAGTCTTATTTGTCAACACCGTAGCCATGCTTGTAGTCTTATTTGTCAACACAGTAGTCATGCTTGTGGTCTTATTTGTCAACAGTAGCCATGCTTGTGGTCTTATTTGTCAACACAGTAGCCATACTTGTAGTCTTATTTGTCAACACAGTAGCCATGCTTGTAGTCTTATTTGTCAACACAGTAGCCATGCTTGTAGTCTTATTTGTCAGCACAGTAGCCATGCTTGTAGTCTTATTTGTCAACACAGTAGCCATGCTTGTGGTCTTATTTGTCAACACAGTACCATACTTGTAGTCTTATTTGTCAACACAGTACCATGCTTGTAGTCTTATTTGTCAACACAGTACCATACTTGTAGTCTTATTTGTCAACACAGTACCATGCTTGTAGTCTTATTTGTCAACACAGTACCATACTTGTAGTCTTATTTGTCAACACAGTAGCCATGCTTGTAGTCTTATTTGTCAGCACAGTAGCCATGCTTGTAGTCTTATTTGTCAACACAGTAGCCATGCTTGTGGTCTTATTTGTCAACACAGTAGTCATGCTTGTAGTCTTATTTGTCAACACAGTACCATGCTTGTAGTCTTATTTGTCAACACAGTAGCCATGCTTGTAGTCTTATTTGTCAACACAGTAGCCATGCTTGTAGTCTCATTTGTCAACACAGTAGCCATGCTTGTAGTCTTATTTGTCAACACCGTAGCCATGCTTGTAGTCTTATTTGTCAACACAGTAGCCATGCTTGTAGTCTTATTTGTCAACACAGTAGCCATGCTTGTAGTCTTATTTGTCAACACAGTAGCCATGCTTGTGGTCTTATTTGTCAACACAGTAGCCATGCTTATGGTCTTATTTGTCAACACAGTAGCCATGCTTGTAGTCTTATTTGTCAACACAGTAGCCATGCTTGTGGTCTTATTTGTCAACACAGTAGCCATGCTTGTGGTCTTATTTGTCAACACAGTAGTCATGCTTGTAGTCTTATTTGTCAACACAGTAGCCATGCTTGTGGTCTTATTTGTCAACACAGTAGCCATGCTTGTAGTCTTATTTGTCAACACAGTACCAATGCTTGTAAGCAACTACAATCAGAACACTTTTAAATAACTTTCCTCCCACACTAAGCTGACATTCTATGGAACTGATAACCAATACTATTCAAACGACTTACCATTTTAGAATGTGCCATTTCCTCTTGATGGCAGACTGAATGACTTTCATGAACTTTCTAATGTTGTCACCAAACATGTTGTTGATGTATCTGAAGACGATGAAGACTAGAGCGATGATGGTGACAACGATGAGAGGGACAGCGCTGGTCTCGCATTGACGGGTGGCGTCCAGGTACAGTGCATATATGAAGTAGGCCAGGTAGGCGACTGCCAGTACAACCAGAAGGCTCTGTAAGGGGAGACAAATCAGTTAGGAAAAGGGAGACAACTCATGATGCATCTCTCTAGCAGATTATTTTAGCAGATTTACTGTAGTCACCAATTAGCACCCCACTGGCTTAAAAATCGGTTTTCAGAAATTGAGCAGTAGTGAGCAAACCTCTTTCGTTGGTTGGTTGGTTTGTTGTTTAACGCCGCACTCAGCAATATTCCAGCTATATGGCGGCGGTCTGTAAATAATCAAGTCTGGACCAGACAATCCAGTGATTAATATCATGAGCATCGATCCACGCAATTGGGATCGATGACATGCATCAACCAAGTCAGCGAGCCTGACCACCTGATCCCGTTTGTCGCCTTTCACGACAAGCATAGTCGCCTTTTACGGCAAGCATGGGTTGCTGAAGACCTATTCTACCCCGGAATCTTCACTGGTCGCAAACATCTTTGATAATAGTTACAAGTCAGTTATACACCCCTTATCCGCTGTTGAGGATTTTTTAGCAAAAGATCTGTAATATACACAAGAAAATATGGACTGTTGTGTAAACTTTAGGACTTTGTCGGGGCCCTGATACGGTCGTACAGATTGGTCTAGTGTGGGCAGGGGCGCTTCCTGGAGTTGGGCGCCGTGGACAACAAATACAGTATTGCCATTGGTTGATTTATTTTCACTGGGGTTGTGTAAAAAAACTTGTGTTACCAAATAACTTGTGTTACCAAACTTTGTTAATGATCTAATATGCCGATACTATTCAACTTGGTATGGCTGCCATCCAAAAGAATACACCACAGTAAACACTACTGCTGCAACGAATACACTGTGAGATACGATTCGTATCACAAATATAGGGTAACGAATATGAAGAGCAATTCATGAATACAATAACAATTCAGCAGTTGATGTATTATCTGTTGTAATCAGTAAAACAATAGCAACATAAATTATTTGACATGGTTTGTTAATTATTAATATATCATACATTTATATACTGCACTTATCCAGGAACTAGTATCTTCACAAATGCGACTAGGACCAGTGACCACAATACTATCAAATTAAATATTATGAGAGTGTTGTCTTTTGAAGACATCTATGTATATAATATGTTCTTATGGATATTTTTAAGTACAGGGTATGTAAATGCACATGACTGCATATTCATAAATATTCATTTGGGCCACGAATAACGAATTCAATTCATGAATGGATACGGTTCGATTCACTGAATACGCGAGTGAATTAAAACAGCCCTAGTAAACACATGTTGGAACAAAAATACAGTACTCTACTTGAAATGAAAACAAAAGGTAAAAAAACCAACGTAATCCAAATTATTCTGAAGCCGACTGACAAAAGATAGTCTGGTATTTTCTCATGTCGCGGGCCCTGATATACAGGGACTAGTGTCTGTAATTCACAGGTTCTTTTTTATACAGGATGAGGACGAGGATTTTAGTTTTAACAATCAACCCTGATGCACTCACTTTCATGAAGATCTTCTGCTTCTCCTTGAAGAAGTCCTCCATCTTGGAGTGGAGGAGCGTCAGGTTGGAGATGAGGCTGCTGGAGCCCAAGTCCACGCTAGCTGAGGACGAACCTGCACAACACAAAGCTCCAGTTTATCAGATGCCATCACTGTGATTGATCAACGATCATGGGTGTGCGAGCCACTTTCAACATGTTCAACAGTACTACATTTATATAACAGTGTGTTAGCCTGATGTGAGAGGAAGACCGAAGTGATGCAGGTCTTGTGCTGGTGCTGGTGCTGGCGCTGACAATCCAGAAACATGATCAGTGAGGACCGGTGAGCTGTTCCTCAAAGCGATCTTAGCGCTACGATGATCGTAAACCTATGTTAAAGTATTGGACTTACAATCACCTTAGTGCTAAGATCGATCGCTTTGTGGAACGGGGCCCAGGACTCCATCCCCACATTCACACGTTTCGGGCAATCCTACCAGATACAATTCCGAGTGAATTCTGTCACGTTAGATGACTAGTCCAACCTTGCCTCAATGATCAGAGCATGCAAACAGGTAAACATAAGACAAGCTAAAACAATAGAAGCTACTACTAAATTATAAAGGTCAATGTTTTTTCATATAATTTGTATTTGTTTGTATTTGCCTGCAACCTGATAAGCCACTTGGTTATTTAACGCAGCTCTCAGCAATTTTCTAGCTATATCACACAGCCTTAAATAATCAAGTCTTGTCTAACACACACAGACACAGACTCAGACACAGACACACACAGAGACAGACAGACAGACAGCTTGTGATCAATTCGAAGCCGACATAGCCATGAGAGGGTGAGCCATTTGAAAGTACACACTCCACATAATATGTATGCAGTAGCCTGCCTCACCTCTGACTTTCCTAATTTGATGTTGATTGGTTGGTTTGTTGTTTAACGCGCACTCAGCAATATTCCAGCTATATGATGGCGGTCTGTAAAATAATCGAGTCTGGACCAGACAATCCAGTGATTGACATCATGAGCATCGATCCACGCAATTGGGATCGATGAAATGAATCAACCAAGTCAGCGAGTCTGACAACCCGATCCCGTTAGTCGCCTTTTACGACAAGCATAGTCGCCTTTTACGGCAAGCATGGGTTGCTGAAGACCTAATTTGATGTCTTAAACCATAAGATTTTATTTTAAATCTGCCCCATGCTTAGATTGGATTCTTATCTTAGAATCCCAGGAGCGGCCATGACACTTACTCTGTGTATCCTCTATGGCTATCTTGACAGATTCGGAGCCTTTCATGGGTGTTGACGTCAGCGTTGTTTCCTTGTAGGTTGGGGGGTCATCATCAGTGATGAAGCCGAGAGCTGAATCATTGTGTGTGTTCATCAGTGGCTTCATAGATTCACTGGTTGCAGAGTGGTTCCTGGCCATCTTTTCTTCCTCAGCTCTGAAACATACAATGTGCGCTTACTTAGTTCCAGAACTGGCTGATTTTGTTAGGCAGAAATCTGTTCTAACCATGTTTAGTACAACATGATCTGCAGAAGGACAAGGCTAAAGATAACCTTTTGAGCATATGAGTTTTTACTCTTGGGTTTCTTTTTTAATTGCGTTATTACATTTTTCATTGGGTAACCAATATTTTTTCACTCATCTATTCATCACCCTATTGGGTTTTTCCCAAAATAAGTGGTCATTTTAAGTTTTAAAAAAAAAGAAATAATGTTTTAGATGTATAGAACTGTTCCAAACATATAGGCTCGTAATACTGACTGACTGAGTATGGTTTTACGCCGCTTTTAGCAATATTCCAGCAATATCACGGCGGGGGACACCAGAAATGGGCTTCACACATTGTACCCATGTCGGGTCTTCGGCGTGACGAGCGAACGCTTTAAAGGGGCACTGATCTAACGCAATTCCCCGGACTGGTTGTTGCCTTTGTTATTGTTTTTTCCCCCGTGAGTACCCGGATGATACGCAACGCAACTGAGCGTGACCAGAGACTGGGCTACCGTCTGCAAGGACAGTTAAATAAACTTGGAGGCTGGAGGCAATATTTGTTTTACGCATTTTTGCATAAACACTGATTGGTTAACAAAAGGCGCATGTTAATTAATTTCTTCAGCCCAAACAAACAGACAAAAAGAACGGCGGAGCTCATCGGATGTTGTCATTTGGAAATACCCCAGATGGTTATAGTTTAATACTAACAAAAGTATCCATGCAGTGAAAGCATTTTCGGATTTCAGATTGCGTCGATAATACGATTACTACTCCCTTGTCATCCACGTTTTCTCGTATAACCCCTACACTTGTGTATTTGTTGTCATTCACTTGATGCTCAGTTAATGAATTTATTACAGGTACAATTAGTGGTAGCATCACTTAGATTACCTGACAAAGGTTCCCATTTGGCATTTATTGTGTCTGGGGTAATTATTCAATCTAAATCCATGTTTGAAGTGAGGTGAAATGTGTGTTATGTAATATGCACGTGGCAGCCCAGCAAGAGATGAATGATCAGTTGATTTACTTTTTTTTGTATATCAACGGATCGTTCCTAGTCATCAAAGGATTAACAGAAAATACGTTGATTGATTAATCACTGTTATCTTGCACAGTGGATATGTCAAAAGTGAGTGTGTACATGTCTAGGTTAACTAAAACAAAGGGAATACACTCATATCATGGCGTGAAGTGCCCATGTAAAAACAACATACTTTGTTCAAAGGGTTAACTGATAATACGTTGATTCATTGATCATTGTTATCTATCACTCAATGGATGTTTTAGGAACCGTGGACGTTATGAAAATAGTTGTCACGTGGGCTTTCTCAGCCGACCCTTGAGACTTGACACCTATGTGAAACACCTGAAACAATCCAAGTGATCAGTTGAGAAACGAACACGGGTTATAATATCCCGAAACGATATATATCTTTTAAAATATTTGATTGTTACAGAGGCACGAGACATCGAATAAGTTTCTTTATACAGCTGCAGACGAGTGTCATATTGTTCCTTTGTGTGGATATTCACGGATACATTCCTCGAACAAGGAAGCTGCCTAAAATTTATACACATAAATTTGGTAGGTTGTAATTATGGTATTTGCATTTTGTTTTCCTTCATTTGAACCGATAATTCGTTCTTGTTTCTCTACGTCTTGGTTGGGAAATTCTTCAATGCGCGATAGACGTTGTTTTCACAGGTCTTTTCCTTTGTAAGCGTGTATATATTACCGTCAATTTGTAAAATGTGATTCTCTCAGGCAATTTATAAAAAGTGTAAATATTTCAGTCCTTTATTCCAAATTTAAAAATTCCAAAAATCCAATACAAGCAACCCCTAAAAGCCCCCTCTTGGGTAGCACACACCACTTTCACCCTTTTCGGAATACACTAAATGGTCCGGCCAGGGCCGTGTGCGAAATACACTACAGTCGGAAAGCGCACGTTAAATCTTCTATATCAGTCAGTCAGTCAGTCATTTTGACTAAAAAATCTGTCCAGATTGATTAAGACTATCAAAAGGGCCTACAAACATCACAACAGATTATTATGTAGGATTAGAAGCCAAACAACATAGAAATGTACTTTTCAACTAACATTATCAGTCTCTTGGTGATGACATTAAACATCAAAATGTTTGGAATTCGTTATCATAATAATAGAGATGGAAATGTTTTTCAGTCAATTTGTAAAATAACTGAATATTTAGACGTTTCATAAATATGTTACACATTTTGACAGTAAAATAATATACACACTATAAAAAAAGCAATGCTCAGGTGAAATATTTACTTTATGTTGCAAGTAAAAATAGTGTAAACGAAAATCGCAAAATTACCAAGCAAGTGACTTATCAAAACTTCGTCACCATTACCGATGCTACCCACAAATATACCTACATTTCCTTATTATCTCGAAAACTGTATTTCATTTTGTTGATCAATGTGACCATACGCCCTAATTACTACCGGTATCCATAAAAGTGACAATGCGCTTACGAATGGCGCAGCAGAGGTCGCGAACTAGTCTAGATTTCTGCTATACATCCGGGTACTCACTGGGAAAAAACAATAACAAAGCCAACAACCAGTCCCGGGGAATTGCGTTAGATCAGTGCCCCTTTAACCACTAGGCTACCCGACCGCCCCTAGGCTCATAATAAGCTCCTTTGTACACATGCTGGAAAAGCTCCATGGGTATTTACCATGTTTTTATACATTTGAGTTTTTCATTTAATGCATGCGTTTCGGTACGCAAGTTAATTGAAAGTACAGTAGGACACGGATATAACGAACACGGATAGAGCAAACAAACGGATACAACGAACTGTTAAAAAATCCCCGATTGATCTCCTATATAATATCATATAAAATTTGCGTATATAATGAACTCTCTACAGCGAACTAACATCTGATCACCGACAAGCCCATCTATCACTAATATTAGTGACGTGTATAGCGAACAGAGAAATCTCACTCAGTGTCAAGTGTCACTGACAACTGGCTGTACGCAATCAGCGGCGAATCAACACAATGGCGCCAAATCAATACAATCCGCGGTGACGGATCAACCTTGTTAAATAAGCATTGTGTGTGAATCTTACCTGTACATGTAATATTGTCTGTAAAATCAGAGACCATATAATATATTATATGGTCTCTGGTAAAATATTATGTCTGTCACTGGAAAATCTGTGTTATGTCATCCAAGATGGCGGACGTTTCCGAGCGAAAACGTGTTAACCCTCATGGTGCCTGGACGTCAGTCAGCCTGCAAACCGCACAGTGCCGCACCGTGCTGACGTCGCGGTTACAAAAACGTATACATTGTATCAAAAGTGTTGCAACGTCAACGTATAAAAACAGGACAGCTAAACAAGCAATACACCATAGGCATATTCCTCGACTTCTCTAAAGCTTTCGATATGGTATGGCACCACGGGCTAATACAAAAACTAAAAAAATAGGACTAAAAGGCCAAATAATAAACTTCATCCAAGATTTCCTAAACAATCGCAAAATTACCGTGGGTATAGACCATACGCTATCGGACCAGTGTCCCCTAGAAAATGGCACTCCCCAGGGCAGCATTCTCAGCCCAACCCTCTTCAATATAATGATAAATGATCTATTCGAGGGCTTATCCCCTAAACTAAACACTTCAAAATTCGCGGATGATGGAGCCCTATGGATCCGCACTAAAAGCATTAAAATGGCAGAAAACTTAATCCAAAAATCTCTAAATAAAATACAACAATGGGCAGACAAATGGGGCTTCTCCCTTAACTCAGATAAAACAACAGGAGTAGTATTCAAACATAAAAACATGAAACCTGCCTACCCAATCCTCCAGCTAAACAACCAAACAATCAAATTCCAAAAACAAACCAAATTCTTAGGACTTATGTTCGATCAACACCTCACCTGGGAGGCTCACGTCCAAAACCTAAAAACTAGATGCAGCAAAGACCTTAACACATTAAGATGTCTCACCGGCTCCAACTGGAGAGCCTCCAAAGATACCCTCCTCTCACTATATACAACACTAATTAGATCAAAACTAGACTACGGCTGCGCCATATACAATACCCTAAACAACTCTCTAACTAAAAAACTTGACTCAATCCAATACCAAGCCCTTAAACTAATTACACGCACCCAACATGGCACCTCCTACACCTCACTTCAGGCCCTTACAGGAGAAATGCCACTAAATCTACGCAGGGAACATCTAAGCCTTAATTTCTGGGCCGCGTCCCAAACAAACCCTCTCATCCAAAACCTAATTAACCAAAACATTAGCCCAAGAAACCAAGCTCTAGCTCGCAAACACCCCTTACTCACCCCAATATCCCAAAGAATAACTAACTACCTCAATGAACACCAAACTCAAAATCTTAAACAAAACTGCAAAAAATCAAATATCTTCACCCCTAAACTCAAAATACCCCAAATAGACACAACGCTAACTAACCAAATAAATAAACAAACCGACCCAAACATAGCTAAAACCACCACACTTTCATACATACACGAAAATTGGCCAAATTGGTGTCACATATACACTGACGGATCTTCAGACCCGATCTCCAACCACACAGGTTTCGGAGTCCATACCACACAACCAGTTATATCCACCCAATCTTACCGACTCCCTAACAACCAATCTATATTCACGGCCGAACTTATGGGCATGGCCTCAGCCCTGCATAACCAACAATCAAAAAACAAAAACAAAATCCTAATTCTCACTGACTCGCTTAGTGGGCTACAAGCCCTCCAAACCAAAAATACCAAAAAACGACCTAAATTAATAAACCAAATACTTAAAAGCTCCAACGACCTAACAAAAGCAGGCAAACAAATAACCTTCTTGTGGATCCCCGCCCACGTAGGAATTTACGGCAACGAAAGCGCCGATAAAGCAGCTAAATTATCTCTCAAAATACCAGAAATAAGCCTAAACCTACCCGTCTCAAAATCAGAAATTAAAAGTGTAAACAAACAAAAATAACCAAAAAATGGCATAATCAATATCAAAACTCAAATAGCCAAATCCAAAAAGTGCTCAGAAAACCACTAGCGAAACCTAAAATCCTACACCCCTCAAAAAAAATTGACAGATTAATTACAAAACTCCAAACAGGACACACGTACCTAAATAACCACCTAAAACAACTTAAAAGACACACCACAGGCAACTGCCCCCACTGCAAACAACCCGAAACCACAGAACACGCACTCATCCACTGCACCCACTACCAAACACACAGAACCACACTACAAACCAACCTCAATCTAAATAAGGTTCCTACTCTAGATGAAATACTAAACCCTCAAAATAAACTAGAAAACTTCAAGGCCCTAGGCGTATTCCTAATCAAAACAGGCCTAATCAAGCGCATCTAAAAACTAATTAATCTACCAATCCAAAATCCAATAAACATACATACACCCACCTCACCCGGCTCCCTTAGTTCCCTCCTCCACCCACCTCGGCATTTATTCCAAATTTTAAAATTTCAAAAAATCGATGTAAGCAACCCCTAAAAGCCCCCTCTTGTGTTGCACACACCACTTTCACCCTTCTCGGAATACACTAAATGGTCTGGCCAGGCCCGTGTGCGAAATACGCTGCAGTCGGAAAGCGCACGTTAAATCTTCTATATCAGTCAGTTGCAACGTCTTTATTTCTTCACACAGTGTAACCAAATTGTATAACATGCAACTCGAGTTGATTGTCTTTCCAACAGTATCTAAAGTCACCAATTCCAAAAGATCTATGCACTGCCCAGCCATCGATGAAAGTGCTAGTATTAATAAGTTTCCTACTTTTCCACATTAATCGTAATATGGACGCACCCGAATATGGCAAGCAAAGTCAAGTAAGCGCCCTTGTTTGAAATCTAAATGACCAATAATTCATATCATTGGCAAGTACATGTCCTAACAGTGATAGACATATGATATTTATGTTGAAGTACACATTCACTGAGAATTTTCCGTGAGTTATATTTACCGATAAAAAATCCCGATGAAATTGTGCGTGTTTTTGACGTCAAAATAAAATTGACGGAAGTGGTCGTGATTAATTCATAGCAGACTGTTTCAAAGATTATGTCACAAAACGAATGACAGTTTGGAATGTATATCTTGAAGAAATCCCGGTTACGTCCACGTATGTTTCAATGACCGTGCTCTTTTATTAGTGATAAAAACAACTTCGGGGTAACTGACATCGTACATTTTCAAAGGACAAAATGTGAAAGATCGCTAAACAGCCCTAACAATACTCAAATTGACATCGCTCAATATCGGGCATCATTATTATTTTTTAATAATTAACAAGATTATACTAACGTTACACCACCCAAGAGTAAGTACATGTTGATTCAATCAAAATTGTTGAAACGTTTTCATGGGCAGCAAATCTATTCAACAAACCTATTTTCGATCACTCGCAACTCGGGCGCCATATGTCATTTTTTCACTATTGCCACCAGAAAACATACATCCTCGTATCAGCTCGTATTTCAGAGGTCGTGTTCAGTACTTTTGCTTGGCCTAAAATGCCAGTGGATGATATCACAGAACAGGGAATTTCCCACCTTATTCAAAACTGTAAAGTGGAGTTGTGAGGGTGATGTATTTTGAATTTTATTCGACTTCAAAGTGAGGGTTGTAGAGGAGGGACATATATGTCCCTCTGGCATCCAGGGGGTTAACGAACAACGGATATAACGAACTGATTTCTCTGGTCCCTTGCAGTTCGTTATATCCGTTATATACTCAAATAGGCTGCTTATCTGCAGTTCTGATAGGATGCTTTTTTATGGATTTAGAAAATACAAAAACTGTATAAAGATGAAAATGACCATTGATGGCAATAGGGCTCCATGATACAGGAAGGTCACCATACGATACGCATCTCGATATTCTGGTCACGATACGATACATGTCTCAATACGCAATGATAAAAAAAAAACAAGACTTAACATGCTTAAAGCATGTCAAGATTGAAGCTTTTCGCGATTTTGGAACAGTCAAAATTATTTTATAATAACAAGACTACTGAAGTGGTTAGGCTTCAAAGTGGAACTCTCCCTAACTTTCCTTCAAAACAATTCAAAGTTCAAACACCAGAAAAAAATTAATGTACTTGACCAGTGATACAACTTTAAAGAATTGTGGTGCAATGGTCGAATAAATTGTATCTGAAATTATTGTTTTAGCAGGAATAATATATTCCGATATCGTGTTACTTTAGTTGCAGCTTTTACTACATATATTCTTAAAATTATAAGAACCACAAGCGTAGGATTTTGGTACTGGTGATTGCTTTTGCAGGATATTTTTACGTATGAAACAATTTGAACAGTCACTGCAAGGACTTCCCGCACTACATGTATTTCAATTGCGAAAACGTTATGTTGACATATATTAGCCAAATTGCCACAAATATGACTTTTAAAAAGTCAAAGTAGGGCATTGTTAATATATGTATCCATTCTCTAACAACCTAAAGTTTGTTTCAATGCGTCAAAAGCGGTAATCTGACCGTGGTTGCTGTATCTCTTCACACACGATTTCACATAACTTAATGAAAACAATATTAAATGAAATTTTGAATAAAATCAATAAAATATATTACAAACACAAGTCCAGATATACAATGAACACGTTTTAATAACAAGATAGTATAATAATGGTATTGAATTGCGTACTTCAGTTCGGATTTGCTGACTGGTATTTTCGGTGTTATGTGCTTGCGGTGATCAGCTGACAATGTTTTTGAGATGGGGAAAAACACCTGTCAGTGTAAAACCCGAGCTTATTAAAAATGTAAGTACGTTTTTTGGAGCCATGCGTTACCGCGCGCTATAACCAAGTTAGCGATTTATTGAAAGGCACAATAGCGAAGAAACGCTGTACTTGAGATTTGCGTTCCGTATCGTGGCGTATCGATAAATGGGCCCACGTTTATCGTATAGTGGGTCAAGCATCGCGATGCATCGGAATATCGGTGTATCGTTCCATCCTTAGATGGCAAACTAATAATGTTTTATTTTGACATGTTTGTGCATATGTTGAGAAAAATACCTGTAATATCTACATATTGGTTTCCCAAATATATGGCAAATCATCTTGTAGATGTCCATGTATTAAGTAAAATTCAACCTGTACTACTTCGCCTGCATATTTCCAGAAGCTGAATGTAGAAAGCTTGCAGTGCTAGGTGGTAACAAATCAATGATGTTGAAACACTACAGATCCAGTATTTCCAGTTATGGCAACCATGATAATAGACGCCAAAGACAGGTGAGCAGCCCTACCTGCACACAAACTGCTTACAGTACAAGGATAAAACAAAGTGCACCACAGAACACTCAAAAAGATGTTCAAGAGCCGCTTTTGGAATTTAAGTGCACCAACAGAGTGAGGGAGTATGGTTTTACGCCGCTTTTAGCAATATTCCAGCAATATCACGACGGGAGTCACCAGAAATGGGCTTCACACATTGTACCCATGTCGGGAATCAAACCCGGGTCTTCAGTGTGACAAGCGAACGCTTTTACCACTAGGCTACCCGACCGCCCTTGCACCAACAAGAAGAAAATGTTTCAAAGAAAGAAAGAAATATAAAAAAATCAGCCCATTGAGCTTATTCTCCTATTTATCATTTTCCTGTGTTTTTCCAGTTTATCATATTTACATATCTCGATATAAATGTGATTTGTAAGTTTGCCATTATTATTATTATTATTATTATTATTATTATTATATATACCACAGGTATCCAGATACTGGTATCTTCTCAAATGCAATTATATTTGTTCCCAAACAAGTGGATCTGTTTTCAGTCCAGTTATCATTTTCAACTCCTTGGGGAGTATACAAGCCAAGCTGCCTAGGGGCGCTAGGACATTTTTACACCCACCTCACAAATCCGGTACCCATTCCCTGCTGATGAGGTATCCACGGGGGGGACGAATCCGTAGTTTTTAGTGGGCTTCGTGTGTAACTACACACATGAATGAAAATGTCTGCACCTCAGATGCGCGCCGATTGGTCAATAAGGTAGGATTGTCCCACGCGCTGTTCGCCGCCAAAAATAATATTTCCGTGTTATTTTCGTGCTCTTTGTCTAAATGTTCACTGACCAAGAATGGTCGATACAGTTTAATTTCTCCCCGAGTATACGTAAATTCATAACCACAAACGAAAGGAGGAGAGATCGCTTGACGCTCAAGGAAGCAGGATATTATTCGCTGCTAGGATATTGCGTCATCAATCTGCGGAGTTGCAATTGTTTACGTCGCCGGAGATGTTTTGCAACGTGCAGTAATCGATATGTATCCACGAAATAAATGTGAAAAAGAAAAGTGAAAAGATAAGAAAAAATACCATGCATGGACACGAGTAGATTCGTTATTCAATTTCCTAGACTATATCGGCCTATATCATCATATGTACCTATATAACCCTGGGTGGGTGCAGGCTAAAACGGCACCTCAGCAAAACGTCACCGATTTCTCTGGCGAAAACGGCTACTATGTGTCGGGCGAAAACGGCACCTCTATTTTGAATGATAAGAATGATAAGAACGATTTTTGTAGTAATATATATGGTTTATTTACATGGTATTTGATGCTGCATGTTGATTTTTTCTGACATTCTTCTCGCATGCAACACATCGAATCGTCTAATTTCTTACTTGTTTTATGTAAGTTTATTATCATTTATTTGACCAAGGTGTAAGTTATAGGTACGATCATGAGGGTTTGGTACCCGTTTAGTGGCTATTAGATTATCCGAACTCTATCCTTAGCCCTTGGATCCCCTTTACGATCAATCAACCCTAGCTTTATGGTTATAAGGGTTAGGTACCCGTTTAGTGGCTATTATAGATTCTACAGCGGCTCCTAATATTCTTCACACAAAAAACGTCGAAAAAGCAGGATGAAATGGTTTAGTGTCGAATATTTTAGCGAATGTAAACTGTCCTAGAACATTCATAGAAGCTAGGGACGAGTCCAAAGTTACTACCCGGGTACTCCCCCCCCCCCCCCCCACCCCCACACCCCACACCCCACCCCCCCCCCCCCCCCCCCCCCCCCCCCCCACCCCCTATTACCCGACTCTACCCGGGTATCCACTGTAGGTCTTAGGAGATGTCTCAAAATGTCCGATTGGGAATATTTTTAGCATCGCCCTGACAAAACGTATTTAGATACACGTATATTCAACAATTTGGTCACACATACACTGAAGTTGAATTAAGTTATATCTTTATTCAACCATATGAAAAATCAGAAGGAATGGATGCACAGTCAGAGAGAAATGCGAACATTAGTGACTTGTAATGTAACCATAGAGTTCTGTATTTTTTTTGTCATTAAACAATATATCACGTGACTAACCACGAGTCCGGGTAATCCTGTGGGTACCCGGGTCCTACCCAGTACCAACCCGACCCGGGTACCAAAGTTACCCGTCCCAGCCCTAATAGAAGCCACTTTCATCTGCAACGTTTGTTCAGTGATGATTCAGAAGTGGACTGACCCATACATGTGGCGTCACTACCCATGCATATTCCTCCCTCGTTCCTTACCGTGATCCACAGTGTTCTCTACCACACTTTTCTGTCACAAAAATCCCCATCATCATCATGACGCCTGACACTGTGCCAATGGCATCGGTATCACCCGTAAGCGTCCGTAGATTAAAGTCACGAGACACCACGCCAACGTGTGACCTTCGTAAGTCTCCGTTACCTATTCGACCCTTTTCGTTTCGATGCTCATGATATCAATCACTGGATTGTCAGGTCCAGACTCGATTATTTACAGACCGCCGTCATATAGCTGGAATATTGCTGAGTGCGGAGTTAAACAACCAACAAACCATCCAGTTCACGCACAAACTGTTTCAAAGATTGTGTTCCGAAGGCTGGTAGTTTTGGTCCGTTGATGCCGTTTGTATATTAGTGGAAGCCAGTTGAACGTGAAATGGGTCCAAATGGGCACAAAAATGGAAAAGTACGAGTACCGAGGAGTCATTAAGTTTTGACTTCAGAGAAAAAGTACTTCCCAAAAAAATCATGACCACATGTCACAAGTGTATGGGGATAAGTGCCCTAGCTATTCCACCGTTGGGTAGTTATGTTTTAGGCTGGGAGAACAAGCCTTGTTGGCGACCCTCGGTCTGGACGTCCCTCAACTTAAAAAAGGAGGTAGAAAAAACTTATGCTAAGATATCTGCTCGTTGTGTGTCAACGTTTCTAAATTCTGATCTAAGACAAAAAGCTCTGACACTGCAGGAGAAAATTTAGAGCTAATCGAGGAGGATTTCGTCAAATTGAAAAAGAGATTAGTAACGAGTGATGAAACATGGGTCTGCCAATATGATCCCGAGTGAAAACGTCAATCCATGGAATGGCACCATTCCACTTCTCTGGCACGCAATTAATTCAAGTCTTCAAGCAAGATCAGTTAAGAAAGTTATGGCCACTGTATTCTGGGATGCAAAGATTATTTAGAAAGTCAAAAGAGGATTACTGGTGCCAACCATGCTGATGTCCTTCATCGCCTGAGAGATTCTATCAAAGAAAAGCGACGAGGAAAGCTGACTGCTGGAGTTCTTGGATTTCATGACAATGCCTCTTCTCACACCTCTCAACTTGCAAAGGCTGCTGTGCGAGAGTTCGAAAAGCTTCCCCACCTCCATACTCTCCAGACCTGGCACCAAGTGTTTTCCACCTGTTTCCTAAACTGAAAGCTAGAACACCTATGACGACAACGATGACCTCAGTGCTGCCGTGAATGGGTTTTTCAGGGTGGCTTCAAAACACTCCATTCCCGACTGGAATTGAAAAGCTTCACTGTTGATATGAGTAGTGTATTTAAAAGCAGGGAGATTATGTTGAATAATAAATTAAAAAACACTTTCATAATTGTTGGTTTTTGTGTTAGGCTTAGAACTTTCTGACCAGCCATCGTAGCTAGATTTAGTGAAAGAGAAAAATACGAAAATATAAATTACCTGGATTAAATTATTGTTAAAAACATTTTCTTTCATATTATTTTTTAATAAATGCTACTTTAGAGCACGGAGTAAGGCCCGTAAGTCTGTAAAATATTAACTTACGACACACCGATTTTCAATCTCATTAAAATCAGATCTTAGTTCTCGCTACCGCTGAACAAAGATCTGAGGACATCCCATTGCGGGTCATGTCAGAACGACCTTTCATCTGACCAAGTTAGAATGTGATTTTCGATCGTGCAACCTCGAAAAAAATCACACACCGGGTTTTCCGAACGACAGTTATGGGCTTTATGACTGTATTCATACAATCTAGACCACCCATTCTCCATTCCAGGACATTCTGTTGTTCAGTTTTTAATTTTTCAATCGAGTATATGTCAGAATATGTTTCGAAGCGTGGTCGCCAGTTTGAAATTCGTACCTTAAAAGTCGATTAAGCTGCCTTCTGATTGGCTATTGTCGACTTCTTGTTAGTCATTCCATTGGTCGGTCAAAGTTCGCGAAAGGTCGGTCTGACGTGACCCGTAATGGGATGTCCTCAGATCTTTGTTTAGCGGTAACGAGGACCAAGATCTGATTTAAATGAGGTTGCACCGATTTTCGAACTCAAATAGTTTTTTGAGAAAATTGGTCCCTTTTGAAAACTTTTTAAATATTCAAAACGACATCACAAACAATGCAAACATTTTGTCATTCAGAAATCGATTATCTATAAAGTTTTTGTAATTACTATTACTGTTTATGTTATTAATTAGACCATTTGAGATTCTAATGTGTATGGCTAAACTATTAAAAAAGCTGTTTAATGTTGGATCTATTTTGACAGCTTTCTCACTGTAAAACAATAGGCTTACTCAACAATATACCCAAATTGTTTTGAAATATCACGCCTTCAAACAGATGAAAAGTACATGTCGACATGGCAAAAATTAGAAGCTGCGCCAAATTCTAACAGTGTTAGCCAAGCGATAAACGGTCTCTTTTATTCGCTGTGGACATTTTCCCAATCGTTTTGTAGTGGATCTATGTTCTCGTTCAGATCGGTTCTGTTAAAGATAATATCATTACTTAGAAACCGAAAACCATATGTGTATCAGTTATACGTCCACAACATTAGTTCAACTGTTTGACTTGAGGTCATCCACGTCACAACCCGCGCGGTCAAACCACGCGCACCTGTCTATCAGAGGGAAATCACCGACCGTCTGTTAGCCTACACCATGGTCCCTAAATAAGTATTAAGTGTCCATGCCTACACAAATAAAATTGCAAATTGTGAGACCATTGAACATAAAAAAACACCCTAAAAACACATTTACTCATAGCTGATACTACAGATATCATGTCAAATGAAAGTTAAAGACTTGCGATAAATTATCAAACGATAATCGTGAGTACACTCGACATCAATATTGTAAATCTAAAATTGATTAGAACTCATGGTCATATTGCAGAATGTTTGAAAAACGAACCCTATCGTGTTACGATGATATATTCCATTTTTTGAGGAGATTTATAATGAGTATTTGATAAAAAAATATATATATACATAATTAGATATCAGTTATCTTGTACAATCACATCATGTTACACGTACACTCAGCACACGGAAAATACTATTTCAGCAAACCTATCGTAGCACCATTATCCAATTTTCAATAAAAGGAAAAACAAATAGACATCGAACTTGACAGCACATCGTATCCATGAGCGCTTAACCGAAATACAAAAGGTATTGGTGTCATCATTTTAGAAGTTATGTTGATGTTTCAAAAGTTGTATCATGTTTGTATCGCGTGTACCATCAACAGAACCTTGGGCCGAGGTACCATATGTCAAATCGACCGTGACACAATTTATTTACAATATGGCGTCAACTCACGTTTAGATGTCTGGACCCGTGAAGATCCGGGGTTGAATAGGTCTTCAGCAACCATGCTTGCCGTAAAAGGCGACTATGCTTGTCGTAAGAGGCGACTAACGGGATCGGGTGGTCAGGCTCGCTGACTTGGTTGACACATGTCATCGTCACCCAATTGCGTCGATTGATGCTCATGATGTCAGTCACTAGATTGTCTGGTCCCGATTCGATTATTTACAGACCGCCGTCATGTAGCTGGAATGTTGCTGAGTGCGGCGTTAAGCAACAAACAAAACAAACAGAAAAATATGTCATGGCCAAACTTTTGAAAACTCCTCTTGC